AACACATGGAATTCACTGCCACAGGAAGTGGTGGCGGCTACAAGCATGGACGGCTTCAAAAGGGAATTAGATAAGCGTATGGAGCAGAGGTCCATCAGTGGCTATTAGCCACAAGCAATGTTCCCTCTAAGCTGTGGAGTCTTGTGAGCAAAAATTCAACTTTGTAAGCTACTGGCATTAAAACTGTGAGCGAGCGACTTGGCTACCACATAAATCGGTTTGCTCTGGAGCCCTCCTTCCTGAGCTAAGACAAAAATGTGTGAGCCGGAAGCTAAAAAACTGTGACCTAGCTCACACTAACTCAGCTTAGAGGGAACACTGGCCACAAGGTATAGATAGGGGCTCTGGGGCAAGTGATGCTCTGTCTTCTTGGTGCTTGGGGGGGGGCAACAGTTGGAGGGCTTCTAATGTCCTGGCCCCACTGCTGGACCTCCTGATGGCACTGGTATTTCTGAGCACTGTGGGATACAGAGTGTTGGACTGGATGGGCCTTTGGCCTGATCCAACATTGGTGTCTCCTATGTTCTTATGTTAATACCTGGCGAGGCAACATGCCGCGGGGACGTCTTCCTGATCTTCTTGGAATAGTCGCAGACCCACTGTTCGCAGCACTGGCCCGTCATCTTAATCTGTTTGGGATTGGGGCACCACATCAGAGGCGGCTTGGAGTCTCGGCAGAGGGGGATGCAGCCCACGGCCCCGTTGACGCAACTGCAGTTGTATTTGCAGTTGGGCTGGAAGGTCTCCCCGTTCTTGTACCTGACGCCATCAAGGAGGCAGCCCACCCCGACGAGCTCTGCAGGAGGAGCGAGAAGGGAGAGGAGGGGAAAGCCCATGAAAAGCAGGGAATGGGATGGCAAACGGCACCCGCGGGCTTTAAAAATGGAAGCTCAACCTGGTGGGCTCCGCGCTTCCAGAGCAAGACAGCCCACGCGCCCCATCAGTGATATCTCTGCCAGAATCTGGGTGCAAATGAAAGAGCGCATTAGCACATGTTGACTTGATCATTTATGTCCGATTAAATAACGAAGTTAAACTTCCATACAGTGACGCTGTTGTGTTACAGGCTTGCAAAGCCATACCTGTAAAAGAAGAAGAAGAAGAAGAAGAAGAAGAAGAAGAAGAAGAAGAAGAAGAAGAAGAAGAAGAAGAAGAAGAAGAAGAAGAGGAGGAGGAGGAGGAGGAGGGATTTATACCCCACCCTTCACTACCTGAAGGAGAGTGGAGAAGAAGAAGAAGAAGAAGAAGAAGAAGAAGAAGAGGAGGAGGAGGAGAGCTTCCCTCCCCCTCCCAAACTCTACCCTCCCCAGATCTGTCCCCCAAATTCCCAGGAATTACTCAAGTTGGAGTTGGCACCTGTTATGTATGGAATGGAATGTATATATGTACTGAGCTTGAGTCTGATGCAAGGTATTGTAAACCGACCTATCAGAACCTGGGAAGTTCTGGAGGGAAGCAAACTGATTGGTCTTTATGTACTAAATATGATTGGTTGTTATCTGACATGTGGGCGTGGCTGTTGCTCTGTTGTTTGTCTTGTTCTGGTTCTTCTGATTTCGTTTCAATAAAGCTGTTATCACTGTTCACCTGCTGCCTCGAGTCTCATATCTGACACCGCCCTTCACTCGGAGTCTCAGAGCGGCTTACAAACTCCTTCGCCTTCCCCTCCCCACGACAGGCACCCTGTGAGGTGGGCGGGGCTGAGAGAGCTCTGAGAGAAACTGCCCTTGAGAGAACAGCTCTTATCAGAACTACGGCTTGCCCAAGGTCATCCAGCCAGGTGCAAGTGGAGGAGTGGGGAATCAAACCCGGTTCTTCCAGATTAGAGTCCGCACACTTAACCACTACGCCAAAGAGTTAACACTAACAATCCATCTTGTTTTTTGAAGTGAATAATGTTAGTTTCATGAACCATATAGGCTTGCCAGACTCCAGGTGGGAGCTGGAGGTCTCCCAGAATTACAACCGATCTCCAGTCTACAAAGATCAGTTCCCCTGGAGAAAATGGCTACTTTGGAGGGTTTACTCTAAGGCAGGGGTGTCAAACATGTGGCCTGTGGGCCAGAACCAGCCCCTCCAGGGCTCTTATCCAGCCCATGAGTAAGTGGTCATTACAGAGGCTACGCATGTTGTCCCTGTATCCTGTCCCAGGGCTAATGAGTAATGGGCGGTGGAAGCGGGAGGGCGGGCATCAGGGAGACACTGTAAGGAAGTGCTGTAAGAGTGTTAATGCTTTAAGCATGTTTGTATTTTGAGGTAAAAAAAAACACCCCTCCCTGTTAATTGGGTTTGCTTGTGTTGTTATAAAGCTTATATCTCCTACCCCTGGCATTACATTATATGGCACACACGACCCAGCTCGACAAAGTGACATTTATGTCAGATCCGGACCTCGTAATAAATGAGTTAGACACCCCTGCTCTAAGGCGTTATATTCCACTGAGGCCCCTGTCCTACCCAAATCCCACCCTCCCCAGGCTCCACCCCCAAATCTCCTTCCCAACCCGGAGTTGGTAACCCTATACCACAGTGATAACATCCCTGCCCAGTGCAATGCTCCCAGCAAAGCTGGAATGTTTCTAATTATTTGCTTGTATTTATTTGTCCCACTGCATCAGGGCCAGTCTGGGGTAGTGGTGATGTCAGCCTGCAGTCTGGGAGGCCCGAGTTCGAATCCCTCCTCTGCCATGGAAGCTTGCTGGCTGACCTTGGACCGGTCACAAGCTCTCAGCTTAAGCTTATCTGGTGGGAGATAAAATGCAGAAGGGGGAAATATTGTATTCCCATTTGGGTCCCCATTGAGGAGAAAAGTGGGGTATAAATGAAGTAAGACACATCAGAGTGGGTCCTAGTCCTGTTTTCAGCTGGTGGAAGTTCCTTCTTTCAGCAGAATGGGCCGGGGGGGGGGGTTCCCCTCACTTACTGATTTCTCCCTACTGCAGTTTCCCACTTCACTCATCACACTCTTCATGGAGGTCCACCAATCCCCAGGGGCAAGATGGGGGGGGGGGTTTCAATAGCCTGCAGTTAGAGTTACCACCCCCTCCCACCCACTGGATGTGGGGGATGTCCCGCTTCCCACCACTGATCAGCTGGCCTGCAGAGTGACTTACCAGGAGCCAGGGGGGAGGCCCAGGCTACATCGCCGGTGACATCAGTTCCAGCATGTACTGGAAGTGAAGTCATCACATCGGTGATATCACAGTGACGCTCTGGTATTTGGGCCAAAACTCTATGGTAGAAGCCATTCCTACCATAGAGTTTTTGCTCAATTGCCAGAGTGTCATTTTGACATCACCGATGTGATGATGTCACTTCCGTTGCAGGTTGGAAATGACATTGGTGTGTCTCTGGTGAGGGAGGCTGGACCTCCCCCCTAATTCTCCCCCCCCCCACGATCCCTAACTGGTTGCCAGGAGGGACCTTGCAACCCTACAACAGTGGAAGGGGGAAGCAGGAAAGTACACTTCCGTGAGTGCTGCTTCACTCACCCTAGATGAAACCAACCCCATACACTCTTTAGTGGCTTAGAGCCAGTTTGGTGTAGTGGTTAAGAGCGGCAGACTCTAATCTGGGAGAACCGGGTTTGATTCCCCACTCCTCCACGTAAAGCCAGCTGGGTGACCTTCGGTCAGTCACAAGTTCTCTCAGGGCTGTTCTCCCAAGAGCAGTTCCCGAAAGAGCTCTCTCAGCCCCACCCACCTCCCAGGGTGTCTGTTGTGGGGAGGGGAAGGGAAAGGAGTTTGTAAGCCGCTCTAAGACTCCGAGTGAAGGGCGGGGTATAAATCCAATCTCTTCTTCTCTTTTTCTTCTTCTTTAAAGAACACCTTTTTTTGCCACAAAGTTTCTACTAAAGTTGTCAACCTTCAGGTGGGGTCTGAAGCTCACCTGGAAATTTCTTTCCTTTTTGGTATTTGTCTCTATGTGTGTGTGTGCGTGAGTGCATGCCTTGGAAGTCATGACTGACTCCTGGTGACCCCTAGTCGGGTTTGGACATTTCAGAGAGGTGGCTTGATATTCCCTGCCTCTGCGTCCCAGCCCTGATGTTCCTTGGAGGTCTCCCTTCCAAGTACTTGCCAGGGTCGGCCCTGCTTAGCCTTTGAGATCTGATGCGATCGGGCTTGCCTGAACTACCCAGGTCAGGGCAAGTTTGCCTGGAATTTCAACCGATCCCCCAAATGACAGAGAACAGTTCCCCCTGGAGAATACGGCTGCTTTGGCGGGCGGACTCAGTGGCGTCACCTCCCCAACTGCGATCGATCCCCTCCACAAACTTCGCCCTCCTTAGGCCCCACCCCCAAATCTCCAGGAATCCCCCAAGCAAGAATTGACAACCTCAGTTTCTAAAATGTTCACAATCGGCTCCACAGCCGGACTCCAACAGCCTCTGAACACTGCATTTTGATGATGTACAAAAATGGGATCCAGTTCCATACTTCCCCCTACTTGAGCACGCTGACCGTTTAAATTGGCAGAAGGATGGTTATCCTAGCAGGGTTTGGTTCTGAACTAACACAGGAGACAACTTCCCAGCACTGATATCCAGTTACAACCAGGTCTCTGCATTTGTAACACGCCTTGCCAGTGTTTTGCATGGCTTGGAATCAAACCCGAGTTCTCAATACACCGGTGGACCATTTTTGACACTCAGTGGGTAATTTACAGTGAAATCTGAAACAGTACAAGCTGTGCGGAGGAATTTTCTATATCAATGAGTAATAAAGCCATCCGTTTGAATTTAACTGTGCGAAGAAGACCATCGCTGTAAGAAAATATTCCGGCAGCAAGAAAGTTTTATCATTCCCTCCCCCCCAAAAAACCCCCACTATTTTAAAAGATACACGCAATTAGAGATGTTTTAGAATCTCAAGGATATTCAGAGTTTGAGTCCAGTGGCACATTTAAGACCAACAGAAGTGTGGATGCACAGGAAAGCTTATGCCCAAAATTAAACTCCTTGGTCTTAAAGAGCCAGTTTGATGTAGTAGTTAAGTGTGCGGCCTCTAATCTGGGAGAACCGGGTTTGATTCCCCACTCCTCCACTTGCACCTGCTGGATGATCTTGGGCAAGCCGTAGTTCTGGCACAGCTGTTCTTGAAAAAAAAAAGAACACTTTCTGTCAAGAGCTCTCTCAGCCCCACCTACCTCACAGGCAGTGTTCCCTCTAAGCTGAGTTAGTGTGAGCTAGCACACAGTTTATTAGCCTCCGGCTCTCCCATTTTTGTCTTAGCTCAGGAAGGAGGGCTCCAGAGCAAACTAATTCATGCAATAGGCAAATCGCTGGCTCACAACTTTAATGCCGGTAGCTCACCAAGTAGGATTTTTGCTCACAAGACTCCACAGCTTAGAGGGAACATTGCTCACAGGGTGTCTGTCGTGGGGAGGGGAAGGGAAAGGAGTTTGTAAGCCACTTTGAGACTCCCTTGGGTAGTGAAGGGCGGGGTATAGATTCAATCTCCTCCTTCTCCTTCTTCTTGCCACGGGACTCAAACTTTGTTTTATTGCTTCAGACCAACACGGCTACCCATCTAATTTAAGGATATTCAAAATGCTTTGACAATAAAACATTCAAACCTAAATCTAAGGATATTCAAAGTGTTTTGACAAGAAAGCATTCAAACACAGACCGTTTATTATCTGAAACCACTCTTATTACCCTGAACCGGCGGTTCTTCCAGCCAAGGAAAAGGAATTGCTGTTGTCCTGATCCAGGTTGGGCTAGTCACTCCCTCTCCACCTACCCTATCTTATAGGCAGGGGTCATTTAGTAGAAAAAGAGGTGTAGGAGCTCATTAGCACAACTCATTAGCATAACTTATTTGCATATGCCACACCCCCTGACATCACCGGAAGTGTGTCAGAAGGCAACACCCACCGCCCAGGCTCCACTGGACTGTTTTGGATTGCTAGCTGTGGGGGGGGGGAACGTGCAGATCTGTCCTCGCCATTACCCTCCCTCTTCTCCTGCCTCCTCCTGGCTGAATGAGGGCCGGAAGCGGGGGGGCTGGAAGCAGGGGGGCGGGGCTTCGTCATGTGCCCCGCCCCCGCACCTCACCCGGGGGAACTGCGATCCCCCGCGATCCCCCCCCGAAATGACCTCTGGCCCTCACAGAGGAGTGAGAGCTTGTACCTAAATAAAACTTGGTCTTAAAGGTGCCATTGGACTGTCTTGGACTGGGGGGCCGGGGGGAGCTCTACAACTTACCTGGCTGCTTCTTGCTCTGACTGAGGGCTGCTGGGAGCAGGGGGTGGGGCTTGTTGCATGTGCCTGCCCCCTGGGCTCTTTACTGCCAGAGCTCCGCTCCTGTGCGCTTCTGCAGGAAATGACCCTGCTTCTAGGGTTGTTGTTGTGAAAAAATGGAAGAGGGGGAGAACAATATGGTAAGCTGTTTTAAGTCCTTGCTGGGACGAGCAGCCATTGAGCCACCCCAAAGTTTCCTCTTCCCTGCTGCCCCAGAAAGATCCAAGTCAGCTGTAGGTGAAGGACCTCTGACTCCTGCCTTAGGTGGATCTGGGATGGGCAGCGGTGCCATGAAAGCAGGCAGGCGCCTCTTTCCAGGCCAACCCAGGATCCATCCAAGGAAGGATACCAAGGAAGCATCTCTGCAGCCCATCTAGGATGAATCCTAGGTGGGCATCGGCAAAGGAGGTGTGTAGGGTTGCCAGCTCTGGGTTGTGAAATTCCTGGAGATTCTTTGGGAGGGAGCCTGAGAGGGCGGAGTTTGGGTGAGGGGACATCAGTGGGGTATAAGAGCCAGTGTGGTGTGGTGGTTAACAGTGGCGGCCTCTAATCTGGAGAACCGAGTTTGATTCCCCCACTTCCCCACGTGAAGCCAGCTAAGTGACCTCAGGCAAGTCACAGCACTCTCAGCCTAAAAAGAAGCATCGCTCGCCACCTAGTGGTGCCAAAGAAGAGCTACAGCTTCGGCAGTCAAACTATCCCCTTGGGGACCTCCTGGCTGTTCCACACACAATGCCATACAATAATTTCAATTTTCAGTAGGGTGCGATGCCACAGAGTCCACCTTCCAGAGCAGCCATTTTCTCCAGGGGAACTGATGTCTCTCGTCTGGACATCAGCTGTGAAACTGGAGATTTCCAACCACTAACTGGAGAGGACAACTGGACACATATCCCCTTCTGTGTTGCCCAGGGTACACCAGTTTGGTGTAGTGGTTAAGTGTGCGGACTCTAATCTGGGAGAACCGGGTTTGATTCCCCACTCCTCCACTTGCACCTGCTGATGTGACCTTGGGTCAGTCACAAGCTCTGGCACAGCTGTCCTTGAAAAAGAGCAGTTTGTGTCAGAGTTCTCTCAGCCCCACCCACCTCACAGGGTGCCTGTTGTGGGGAGGGGAAGGGAAAGGAGTTTGTAAGCCGCTCTGAGACTCCAAGTGAAGGGCGGGGTATAAATCCAATCTCTTCTTCTCTTCTTCTTCTTCTTCTTCAAGGGGATGCAGAGGTGTTACCTTTGTACCCTGTCTGACAGGTCCCAGGGAAGAGGCAGCAGAGAAGATCCACCTGCCTTCATTTCCACCCCCCAGGTGGCCTGGAGTGGACTAGGACACTCCAAAACACTGGCCCAGATTAAACGAACAGAGTTATGAAAACACTACAACCCGGGTCATCCAGGTTACCTGCTCAAACAGTGGAAGGTTTCGTGGTACTGGAGAGAAGGCGAGGGTCTCTTCAAATTGGGTGTCCTTTGGTTAAAGAGCAGCTGCCCTGGAGCCCCCTAGCCTTGACCTGGATCACCCAGGCTTGCCTGATCTCACCAGAGGTCAGAAGCTAAGCAGGGTCGACCCTGTCTAGTATTTGGATGGGAGACCACCAAGGAAGTCCAGGGTTACAACACAGAATCAGGCAAATGGCAAAACCACCTCTGAACCTCTCTTGTTTTGGAAACCACACCAGGGGTCGCCATAAGTCAGCTGTGACTAGATGGCAAAACAAGACTCCCTAATTGATCCCCCCTCATAAGGAGGAGGAGGAGACTGGATTTATACCCTGCCTTTCACTACCCGAAGGAGTCTCAGAGCAGCTTACAATCTCCTTTCCCTTCCCCTCCCCACAAAGGACACCCTGGGAGGTAGAAGAAGAAGAAGAAGAAGAAGAAGAAGAAGAAGAAGAAGAAGAAGAAGAAGAAGAAGAAGAGATTGGATTTATACCCCACCCTTCACTACCCAAGGGAGTCTCAGAGCGGCTTACAATCTCGTTTCCCTTCCCCTCCCCGCAACGGACACCCTATGAGGTAAAAGAAGAAGAAGAAGAAGAGATTGGATTTATACCCTGCCCTTCACTACCCAAGGGAGTCTCAGAGCGGCTTACAAACTCCTTTCCCTTCCCCTCCCCACAACAGACACCTTGTGAGGTAAAAGAAGAAGAAGAGATTGGATTTATACCCCGCCTTTCACTACCCGAAGGAGTCTCAGAGCGGCTTACAAACTCCTTTCCCTTCCCCCTCCCCGCAACGGACACCCTGGGAGGTAGGTGGGGCTGAGAGAGCTCTCTGGAGAACTGCCCTTAAGAGAACAGCTCTGAAAGAACTTATGACTGACCCAAGGTCACACCAGCAGCTGCACATGGAGGAGTGGGGAATCAAACCCGGCTCTCCCAGATTAGAGTCCACGCACTTAACCACGACACCATAACTAGGATTGCCAGCTCTGGGTTGGGAAAATCCCTGGAGGTTTGGGGGATGGAGCCTGAAGAGCACAGGGTTTGGGGAGGGCAGGTACTTCAATGGGGTATAATGCCGTAGAGTCCACCTTCCAAAGCGGCCGTCTTCTCCTGGTGAACTGATGTCCATCCTCTGAAGATCAGTTGTAATCTCAGGAGATCTCCATCCACCACCTGGAGGTTGGCACCCCTACTCGTAAGAAATACAGCTCCTGAAATTCCGCAATCTGAAAATAATGCCCCAAATGCAATCCTAAAATGATAATGGCACTCCCGAAAATTCGGGATAACGATGGCACTCCCGAAAATTCGGGATAACGAAACCAGGGTCCTACCCAAAATCTGGACCTAAAATTATGACTTTTAGTGCACACCCCAAATGGGTATCTTTTAAGGAAGAAGCCTAAAGGCAGACGGGAGCTGACGAAATTCAGCGTCTAGGGCAAGAATATATGTACGTCACTTACGTGCACACACTCCTATTTCGTACCTAGGTCTGTCTCTGCTGTAGTCACAGTACAGGCCCCTGTGGAAGTCGCAGGTGTCGGCTTCGGTGCAGTTCTCGCCGAGCTGCTTCGCGCACATTTTGCAGCAGTCACAGCCGTCCGTGAGCAGGCTGACTCCCACCGGGCACGCAGGTGGCACCTTGGGGCACTCGCAGGGCCACTTACAGTACTGAGTCCGCGTGTAAGCCTCGGTCACGAAGGAAGTGGCGGGCGGCATCGTGGTGGAGTTCTGGGGAAAGGCCTTCAAGAGAGCAAAAACAAAGCAGGGGAAAGGCTATGAAGCGAGTACATAAGAACATAAGAACATAAGAGACGCCAATGTTGGATCAAGCCAAAGGCCCATCCAGTCCAACACTCTGTATCACACAGTGGCCAGAAATACCAGGTGCCATCAGGAGGTCCACCAGTGGGGCCAGGACATTAGAAGACCTCCCACTGTTGACCCCCCCCCAAGCACCAAGATGACAGAGCATCACTTGACCCAGAGTCCCTATCTATACCTTGTGGCTAATAGCCACTGATGAACTCCATTTCGCAGGTCTCACAAGGCCGCCTCCCCCAGAGATAAGTGATCCAGAAGAAATTTTCCACATCGACGTTCTTCATGGATCATCTCACAGGTATCCCCACCAAAACAAACGTTACAAGAGGACCAGTCCTCCAAATAAGAAGCTGAATGCCGATAGACACAGAGGTTTAAGATGCTGAGCTGCAGACCGGAAGGTCTGTAGGTTGGCCTTTCGAGACCCGAGTGCTGCATGACAGAGCGAGCTCCCATCTCTGGCCCCAGCTCCTGCCAACCTAGCAGTTCAAAAGTGAGAAATTACAAACAGATAAATAGGTACTGCTTTAGCGGGAAGGTAACAGCCTTCTGTGTGCCTCGGCGTTTAGTCATGCAAGCTACATGACCACAGAGAAGTCTTCGGACAGCGCTGGTTCTTCGGCTTGGAAACAGAGATGAGCACCATCCCCTAGAGTCGGATTCGACTGGCTTTCGAGCAAAGGAAACCTTTACCTTTACCTAAACATGATTCATAAAGTTTCATTCATCTCCAGTATGCTGGTCTCATAACAAGAACACGTGGAGTGGAGTCCATGTTGGGATTAGGGTTGCCAACTTTGGGTTGGAAATTTCCAGGAGATTTGAGGGCGGTGCCTGGGGAGGGGGAGGGAGCTCAGTGGGGAAGTGAAGCCAGAGATGTTGGAGTGAGTGACTAAGGATGCCTGGACTTTGGGGGGCGCTACATCATTCTACGTGTGTACAGGTGTTATCTCCTTGAATGGGATGCCTCTCTTTGTCTTAACCTGGGAGCTGCCCTCTGATGCCTCCTATCTCTCTCTTTGTCCTCTCACATCCTTCACATGGCCTTTCAATGAGACACATGTCTCTGCAGGTCTCTCCTGTAGATAACAATGCCCTCAGACTCCCCCACACATGATGCCAGACTAGCTGGCCATTGGTGATAGGGAAAGTACACTTTAGATTAAGCTCTCTCTCTTCTTTCGACTGCCACCTGAATGTGAACTATCTGAATGAATATAACTTTACCTGTTTTTGCATTATACTCCTTGGGAGATTTATTTACTGCACTCAGTATCATGCTTCTATGACGGGGCAAAACTCTATTAGCCAAATATCCTAATGATAGGATCCCCTCTCCAAAGCTGGTATTTCCTCCAGGGGGGCTGATCTGTGTAGTCTGGAGGTCAGTTGAAGACGCTGAACTGCAGGCTGCGGAAGGTCAGTAGTTCAGCAGTTCGAGACCCGAGTGTGCCGCAAGACGGAGTGAGCTCCCGTCTCTAGTTCCAGCTCCTGCCAACCTAGCAGTTCGAAAGCAAGACATTGCAAGTAGATAAATAGGTACCACTTCGGTGAGAAGGGAACAGCGTTCCGTGCGCCTTGGTGTTTAGTCAATGCCGGCCACATGACCACGGAAACGTCTTCAGACAGCGCTGGCTCTTCGGCTTTGAAACGGAGATGAGCACCGCAACCCTAGAGTCGGACTCGACTGGCTTTCGAGCAAGGGAACCTTTACCTTTACTACCTGGTCTGGATTTCCCCAGGAATCACCAGCAAAAGCCAGAGTGACCCTTGTTATCACCCCCCCCATTCAGAGATATACTGCTTCTGAACATGAAGGCTCCATTTAGCGATCATGACCAGTGTTCCCTCTAAGCTGAGGTGGTGTGAGCTAGCTCACAGGTTTTTAGCCTCCAGCTCACACATTTTTTTTTGTCTTAGCTCAGGAAGGAGGGCTCCAGAGCAGACTAATTTACACAGTAGCCAAATCGCTCGCTCACAATTTTGATACCAGTAGCTCACAAAGTAGAATTTTTTGCTCACAAGACTCCACAGCTTAGAGGGAGTATCGAACATGACTAATATCTACTGACAGACGGAAGGGGATTGATCTGTTAATCTCACCACTCATCCCCTTTTAGCATGAACCTGTTGTGGGGTTGCCAACTCTGAGCTGGGAAATACCCGGAGGTTTTGGGGGGTGGACCCTCAAGAGGGTGAGGTTTGGGGAGAGGAAGGACCTCAGTAGGGTATAAGGCCACTGAGTCCACCTTCCAAAGCGGCTATTTTCTCCAGGGGAACTGATCTCTGTCACCTGGAGATCAGTAGTTATAGTGGGAGATCATAGAATCATAGAATGTTAGAGTTGGAAGGGACCTTGCAGGTCATCTAGTCCAGCCCCCTGCACTCTGCAGGAGCATAGTCGAAAGAGAGCCCTACAACACACCCGAAAGATGGCCGTCCAGCCTCCGCTTGAAAATGGAGATCTTGAAAACGGAGATCTCCAGCCCCTATCTGGAGGATGGCAACCCTAACCGGTTGCTTGCTGGTCCAAAATAAGGGTAATGATGACCTTAGGATGTAAAGAATAAGCTAGCTTGGGGAGGGTCACATTTCATCTGAGCCTTAAACTTCGGCATTTATTCGGTGCTAGCGGTTGTTTCGGTCCAGTCTCCTGAGACTTACATTGATCCCCATGATTTTTGTCCCCTTTTCAGTCTTTCTCCTCCTTAGAAGGCTCAGGTTATAATGCCAAAATTACCATACAAGACTCAATTGCATGCGAGGAGCGGAGTTAATCGCTTTCTTTTCATACTGAGTATAAAGGATGTCTCAGCCTCATTTCATCGGAGGCAAAGGTTCCCAGCGCCCCAGTGACGGAATCCTTCGATTCCTTTTGTCGATGGCATTTAAAAGCAATTTACTGTACTGAGTAGGGCTCTTTCCTGTGCTTTTCTTTTGGTCCTTTGAAGATGGGAAGCCATCCTTGGGTCAGGTGGGAGGCTAATTTGCTATTGAGCTCCAATCTTTTTGAATACTTAGCATTGCTTTGGCTCCTTCTTTTCGTTTGTTTAAAGAAAAGGAGAAAATAATCTCATGCTTCCCCCAAAGGAGCTCGGGTTGATTTGAGGATTTAAAAAAAGAACTGCGTGCCTTCATGTGCAATGGCCTGGTGTGGTAGAGGCAATGCTGAGAGATCACGTCCTGCTCCAGACTAGCTGTGGCTGAGAACTGGTACCCAGGAGTGCATTTCTGTGCAAAGTTTCTCCATTCTAAGCCTAATGATTTCAATGGATGTACACATGAACACATGAAGGTGCCTTTTACTGATTCAGACCCTTGGTCCATCGAGGAAGAGGAGAAGAGATTGGATTTATACCCCCGCCCTTCGGGTATGAAGGAGTCTCAGAGTGGCTGTCATGATCTGGGCTGTGCTACCAGAGGCCTACTAGGTGGCACCCCACCTGAGTCGTGACAGTGGCTTACAAACTCCTTTCCCCCCCCTCCCCACAACAGACACCCTGTGAGGTAGGTGGGGCTCAGAGAGCTCTCTCGAGAACTTATGACTGAGCTCTGAGAGAACTTATGACTGACCCAAAGTCACACCAGCAGCTGCATGTGGAGGAGTGGAGGAATCAAACCCAGTTCTCCCAGATTAGAGTCTGCTCTCTTAACTGATACACCTAACTACTCAGTCTACTCAGACTGGCTGTGGTCTCAGATGGAGGTCTTTCACTGCACCTGCTGTCTTGTCCTTTTAGCTGGAGATGCCTGGTATTGACCTTGGGACCTTCTGCATGCCACGCATGAGGGGGTGGGTACATGGGGGGTACTACTGGCAAATAGTGCTATGTCACTGGCACTGGCTGGTAACCCTAGGCAAAATATTAGTGCCTGGATGTTTCCCAGAGGGCAAGTAGTAGGTCTACGGGGTCATTTTAGGCCAGGAAGTCATTGTACATGAAGCTAAACCCACATCCTCTCACACTGTAGTCCCTATCCAAACCAAACTCCTCCAAATCTTGCATTCAAAGAAAAAGTGCTGGGTTCCGTTCATGAAACTTGTGGTGTCTCTGGTTTGGTCTTAAGGATGAGCTTCTGTTGACCGTCTCAGTGGAAAACCTGGGAGACCTGCGACTCTCTGGGATTGCCGGCATCCTCAATATGTAATACAATAATCAATGCATGGAGATTCTGTCATGATACTAACCCAGATGGGGAAGGTCTGGATACGGCTGGGGGGGCTGTCCTGCAGCATCGGCGCACCAGACAGGCACCCAGGGCACCGCAGGACAGCCCCTTTGGAACCACCAAATGCCCCCAATCTGCCAAGACAGTCAGCAGCTGCACCACCATGTGCAGGTGCTGATCCAACAGGGAGAGCTATCACCCCCACCATGGAGGCAGAACTCCACCAGGTGCCACACCCCCCAGCAGAAGCCAGCCCGCAGAAGCAAGCATATAGCCAGCATCCTGGTCGTCCCGTGTGCGCCTATCAAGGAGGTGCCCCTAGCGACAAAGGACCGAGTGGGGGTAGCGCTCAAAAGCGCCAGGAACTCACCCAACCACTCTGCTGTCCCTGGTCACCTTTAATAAAGCTTGCCCAGTGGGCGAAATCCTGGTGTTGGTGTCTGGAAGGACAGTGCGGCTGGAGGGGGCGTGGGAGTGAAAGGAACCTTGAGGACACACCAGGGGCGGGGGCCTTGTCCTTGCAATAATGCCAACACAGCAGCAGATGCAGATGGATGCTCTGTTACCCAGTGCCCAGTCCTTTTAAAGAGTTATTTAACTCATCTGAGTTATTTATTCCGTTAGGGAATTCATATGTTTCCTCTCCAGAGGCCTGCTTGAGGCAGTTTTACAACCCGGTACAACAAACCCAGCACTGTATAAACAACCCATCAAAAAAAAAGGTGCAAACTCTGCTCTCCCAGGGCTCC